TTTGATCAAAATCTTACAAGATTTTTTAGTGTTAATATGTTCTATGTCAGTAGGTTTTAAATTTCTTTAAATCATGAAAATCTGAGAAAAAGATAATTATTAAGATAATATAGCATATCTCTGGATTGAATTATTTTAATATGGAAAAATTATTTTTGGAGAGACACTTTTAATTTCTGATTGCTCGAAAGATAAGTCTATGAAATAAGAATTTGTCCTGTGCTGTAGAAAATCCCCTGTAGACAATGTATCCTTTGATGTCAGAGGCTACAATTTTTAGAAAGTATGTCTGCATACTTACTGATATCACCATATTTACAAGAGGCCAAAAAATTATTCATCAAATGATGACAAGATTTGGTAAACATGTTCAGAGTTTATCTTATAGATTATTCCAAACCTGTTCTAGTTAAGAGTTTCCTTTGAAATTGAGAAATGGCTTTTTCTCAAGCATGTCAACCTCTGGCCTAAGGTACTTCACTGTAGAATCTAAGTTTTCTGAAAAATCTGGATTTTTGAGAGTGAAAAATGAGATTTCCTTATCTGATAGATAGGGCTAGCCCCCAGATCATGTGGACACGAGTAATTAGGATGTAGTACATGATGGTTTTATAGAAGGGGGATTTGTTTAATAGTTTTATCGTGTAGGCTGAACACATTAAAATTAATTTCCACCACATTAAACACAATTGGTGTGACTAAGTTTGTTGGAAATTCTTATTTTTCTTCACATTTCTGGAGTACATGGATGAATTACATTGTTTGAAGTAAGTTTTCTAAATTATTTTACTCTAAGGTTTTTTTTTTTAATTTTATTTATTTATTGAACCTGTTTTTGTTTAGAGTAGGCACTGTTTAATTTTATTTTGTTTCATGCCTGGCAGCTGTTTAGTTAATGTTATAACCACTTCAGTTGCTTTGTGGACCAAGCTGTTTCATATCCATACATCATATTCACTCAGAAAATTAGCCTCCATCCCGCAATAACAATTCACAAAAACAAACACTGAAATATAATACATCATTTGCTCAGAAGTTTGGCCCCCTTTGTGCTTACAAAAGTAATCACTTTTCAGCATTTGTTATCTATTTATGACAATGCATGTGGTAGTGTTGAATTAGTCTGTGTTCCTACAATATTGTTCCATGTGAAAAGTAAAGAAGTTTACATTAGAAGATGAAGGGAAAACTCATATTGAGAACTGATGTGCTCTTAGTGTGGGTCAAATGGTCAGAGGAACGTTTTAGTTTAGGGAGCAGAAAATGACTTTCTCAAAGTCAAAACAATAGCAGCTTTAATAGGGGGTGTCTAATGCAAATATCTTTCCATCGCTATAATCTCATGATAAATCAATTATCTCAATGATTTTCTTGCATGCTTTCAATTAAAGTTTCTGTTTTTTATTGTGGGGAATCAGTGAAAAATTTAACAACAATCAGATCTGGGATAAAATCTTTTGGGGTAGATAAGGGGTAAACTTTTGGACCGCTGATGCCTGTGTATTTAGTCAATGAGCCGTCAGTCCATGATTTGTCTGATAGTGGCATCAAGTTGCTTCTCTTCCAATTATTCAATGCAGTGGGAGGTCCCTAAAATTGTATTAAAATCTGCAACTCTATATTTTTTGGATTTGTTACACTAGGTCCAAGGACTTCCAATATACCGCTGCATCTTCCTGGGATTAACCCAGTAGTTCATGCAATATATCCAGTGGTTAGACAGTATAGGGCCTACAAAGGTAGGGGATTAAAGTTGTCATGTAACTTACCAAAGTTTTATTAGAAACGTCAGGTCGGGATTGCTTATTTGGCTTCTTCTTTCTCATTATTTTTTCATTTAAAATGAAATAGGGGTATTTTTAATGTCATTGAGTGGGGAAAACTAACAAAGCGTGATGTCCTCATCGAATATATAAAGAGAAGTGTCTAAAGGTGCAGTACATTTAGTGGAGTGATCTGCATGTTACATTATTTTTAAATTCATTTTTAATGACCACACTGATTACATTATTTGGATCCATTACCTGAATTTACCTTCTGAGTCTGTAAGGTAAGGAAGAGAAAGGGTTTACAAGAGAGAAATCTTTGAGATTACATTTTAGTAACCTCTGAATACTCTTGAGAATTATCAGGTTCTGAATATTTTTTCCTAAGTGGTCCTGGAGATGGAGTCATTTTGCATGATGAGTTTAAAATGAAGCATCAAAGACAGAAGTGTATACCTGGGGTCAGTCTGTAGTCATTTTACACCATCAGCTACGTAAAGTGATCAGCTACAAGATAACGGAGTTGTTAAAATTTCAAGAGTCACTCTTGACTTTCTTGTTCTTTTCTGTGTGTAAATACAAATTTTTCATTTATGCTCAGACAGTACACAGTTTGTACATAAAGTGCACTAAGGAGTTTTGTTTTTCAGGTAAACATTCTTTATTTTTTATTAGAAGAAAGTTCTTCATTTAATCTGTTAATTTTCCTAAAACTAAGAGGGCAGGTCATTAAGAAGATATTAGACATTAATTCTGGGAGTTTTCATTTTCTTTTACATGATAATGTATAAAGTACGACATTAAAAGCATTTATTCATGCAGAGGTAAATTTAGAAGGGAAATATGATCTTATTTATTTTTGATAATTAGACAACCTCAACAGAGATAAAAGTAAGCGTTGTTCTTTTGATATAATCATTAGCCTCATTACAAACGGCATTTGAGATATTTAGTGAGTGCATTAAAAAAAGCCTGTCTATTAACTGTATGTTTAGTCAAGTGGTAAAAACTTTAAGAGTTTATTGAGAAAATTCCTAAGAGGGTTTTAAGCCAGAAGTTTTCTTTTTGGTCCCGGGGCTCCTTGTAAACTTAGAAATCTGACTCTTCTCCCAAACTTTTGTCATCCTTCAGTTATGACAAGAACTGATTGTGTTTGTAAAGGGAACCATTTTCATTGGACGATTTCCTGTGACAAGTTTGCTCGGAGATTTAAAGAGATCAATTTGTTACAAACCTTTTTTCTTTTTATCCAGCCAAATATTGACCCTCCTTCTCTTATTTCTGGGATCAACTCGTCAATATTTACTTACTGCTTTCATTTAATTGGCAAGCTCTCACACCAAAGACAAGTTTAACTTGAAAAAATGTCTCCGATTAAAACTGTATTATAAATATATTTGATGTTTTGAAATGATTTAAGATTTTGAAAAATGATCTCTACATAGGGATTAAGGTATATCTTTGGGCAAACATTCAATGGGCCTATAATTTGAATCAGCTGAAGACACCCAATGTTTCCTATCTGGGCAAAACTTTCTCATCTCTGTTTTTGGCTGCATGTTTTAAATTCTAGCAAAACTTTTCATTTGATGTGGTAAAAATTTCTCCATATGAAAGTTATTCCATTTAATATTTGAAAATTTGATAAGATATGCAAATATTTTATTTAAGCAATAGTCATCTCAGTCACCTGATGCCTTTTTTTAATGGGATTTTGGGGATCTAGAATAATATATGCCAAGTGGTCATTTTATTTAAAAAGAAGATAATTTTTGTTAATGAGACATAGCTTTGGACTTGAATGTTGACTATCTGATCTCTCTCCATACCCACTGAGAGAAGAGTTCCATAATCTGTATATCTGGAATACCTTGTCATTACACAGTGTAGGTAAACTCGTTGAAGATTTTAAACAAATATTGACCTCCTTAATAAGGAGAGTAGCTGACATAATAATGAAGTGACTGGCGTCCTCTGTCATCGGCTTAAGCTGTAGGTGACTTGTTAAGTAGAGCGGGGGGCTTCTGACTGGATCCCTTACCACAGAACTTCTAAAATAGCCACAGACTTCTACAGGTATCAACCCTGATCAAGTACCTCTCTAGCTAGTATAGGATGCTAATTCTTGTGATTTTTGTGATGAAAGATAAAATCTTGGTTTCTGTGGCATAGTTTTGAGGATTACCATAAATGATAAAGTTTCATTGGGTCTTTGAGGATCTTGTAACAAGGAAACAAGAGGATTTGTGTGTTCAGTAAATCAGCCCTGACACAGGTGAGATACAGGTGAGAGGTCTTCATCACTGGCCTGGTCTCCAGCTTTGATGTCTGTATAATGTTATCATAGACAGCATTGTGACCAGTGTGAAGCTTTGATTATAGGTTATCTATGTTTATTTACCAATCATTGAAAAAACAACAGATATGTTAGCAAGCTAATCTCAGGTGTGCTATAGGTGTGAAGTTTGCAATCAAACAGCACACACAAGGACTGAAGCCACTTGACAGGGTTTGATGCAATCTTCAAAGTCTCAGATCTTCTACATGAAAAGTCTCCTTAAAAGTTTTGGAATTCATATGTCTTGATTCTTCATAGAAACAGTTGCTTGCTTGGTGAGTTCTGATTTTGATTTGAGAATTGTAAACACAAGAATTAAAAACATATTCTTTTTTTTTTTAATTCATGTACATGTGTCATTAATGCAATTACATTTCCTTGATGTAATTTTTAAATTCAAAATTATTATAAAGATATTATTTTTACCTTGATGATATTCTTCATTAGAATATTATGATGAAAAATTGAAATTAAATATTGTTAATCTTTACGGCACTCAATTATACTGTCCAATTGTGTTCAGACTAAGATATTTATGGTTTATAAAACCACATGATGAAAATTATCATTTAAAATTATGTTAACGATCCTGTGTTTATGATGTCTGTGTGATGCTGAGTTGTATGGGGGAGGCTCTTGACAGCCTTTATTTCTGATTCTCTTGTATTATAAAACAGATACTTACCTGCTTAAGTCTGTTGTTTATGATGGTTGACTAATTAATTAAGCAGTCTTGTTCTTTGTGACTGACCATTTGGAGGGAGAAAGGACTGGCAGTTTTATTAGACTTGTTTGCAGATGTCACTTATGTACAGGTAATTAGTGCCCCTGTATTATCAAACATGGAAGTCGACATGCAGATTTTGAATTTTTGTGCATGCCTGACTACATGTTGTCTGGGGTGTAGACCCTATTCAGTGTCTTATTTTTGAGGGGAGTTCTAAAGTGTTGATTCCTACCTGGACCCTTTTTTAGTCACCTGTGGAGTCACAGTAAAAGCTGATGGCTTTATATAGCTGATCCTCTGGTAAGGTGAATTTATAACACATTTGTAGAATTAGATAGGCCTAATTTGAGAAAAATTTACCTTTAATCTCAGTGAGGTCTGTAGAATTCCCTGTTTTTAATTTCTAACTTAAGGTGTGTAAAATCCTAATCATTTTCTCACCTAATGGAGAATTAAGGACTAGCAGTTCCAATCTAGCACCTCACTTCAGAATGTTGTGTAATTCTAATAAAGCTCCATGCAGACTGAGGAACACTGGGTATAAGTTTTCTAGTCTTTTCTTGTCATTAGATTACGTCTACATTTATAAGAGGTGGTAGTTAATGAGGGTCAGATCTGATGACCTATTTCACACACCTGACCATAGAGCTTCATCACTGAGCTGTCACATTGTCAGTTCTCCGTTAAACTGCTATGAATTATGGGACATCTTCCACAAGCTCATTTGTTTCTGTTTCGCTGCTTACTTCACAAGCTTTTTGGGATTTTACATAATTTAAAGGTATAGTGAACTTGATTACAATGTATGTTTAATAAAAAGAAATAATGACAATTTTATTTTTAATTTTGAGATTGATAAAGGATTCTGTTTTTATGTTTACTGTTGTTGCATGTTCAAAAAATAAGAAGACAATATATATCTCTAATTGTTTTACATTGAAAGATGGAAAAAAATTTAGCTCCTATGCTAGAGAAAATATAAGAAATAAATATAATATTGTTATGGAATTATATTTTCTAACAATTAATATTTTAGCATTTCATGAATTAAATTATGATAGCTGAATTCTATATTTATGAATTAATTATTTTATTTATTTTTTTTATTCTGTAAGGAACTAAAGAATCACTATTATAATACACACAATGCTTTAATTTTCATTTTTATTTAATCTGTGAGAAATTTTTAAAATATGAATATGCAATATTAAACATGTTTTTTTTTAATTCAATTTTTAACCAAAGTAATGGATGGAGATAATTATTTTTTTATAACTAAAATAAACTCTTTTCATATACATACTGAACCACTTAGTAAATGTGCATTCATTTGATACAGGACTTTCATGTCCACAGACTGCATTACTTTAACACTGTTATAAATTATAGATATTCTGTAGATTCCGGTAGGATTCTGTACAGTATTGAAGTCCCTTTGTTGTGAGGTTTTGATAGGGCTGATTATGATTTGATGAAGTGTTTGTTTGGAGTGTCCTTTAGAGAGAATTATTAAGATGTACGATGTGTCATTAAAGCTACTGGTGTGAAGATTATGGCCGTTGGTCAGTGAAACGGACTGTTTGTCCCATCCTCACCTGCATGTCGTAAAGCTTTGGTTTTACTTCAAGGGGATGGAACTACGTCAACCTGTGACAGCTCTGGCAATTAACACAGGGCTTTAATTGCTGCAGTAACAATAACGAAAGGTGGGAATTCTCTGAAGTTATTTCCCCTTTTAAGATATTTTGTGAAGATTTTATCGGATAGAGTGGTCTCCTCTTTTTATGGGGGTGAGTTATCTTTTATCGTTACATTGAAACTTAGGCTTTGTCAATATCATAAAAAGTTGTAGTCTATATATTTGGATAGAATTATAAATGGGCTGATATTAGGGGCATTTATTGGTGCCATATTGGACCCTCATTCAAAGTTTGGCAGGATTTGAATCACGCTATTAATGGAGGGACAATTTATTACAAATCCCCATATTTCGCCATTGCCAGGGTCCAGCTTTGATGTCATTAAGACTGTATTGACAATAAGCCTCAATCTCTATCTTATCTGTATGAGTTTGAATTAACACGGGGTGTTTGGTCTCTGGGTAATATGGAGAGAAAGGTATCCGGGGTTGCTACTTTATAATCAGTGCAGTCATTATTTATGCTGACACCATGTGTCATAGAACAGGAATTTTTAAAATTTTTCATTCTTTATTAGTTTGAGTAATGGTCAATATTTGGTAGATAGAACTAATTTATTTGAAATATCAAAAAGGAAGAATTAAGCATTTTGGGTCTATTTTTCCAAATTGTGAAAAACTACAATGAAATTAAAATTTGGTGGATATTTGAGGAAATTACTAATCAGGGATGGAGCGATTCTTTACGTTAGAAGTGATGGATGATGGGAATGGATCAGTGAGTCGCCCAGCTCAGAGAGAGGGAAGGTTTATAATGGCAGTTAAATAGACCAAAAGATCTTTTGTTTTTACCTGTGTTGGTTCAAGTATGGACATTATTTATCATTCTGGAGAAGGGATATATCTTCATAATGAATTTCTTTAATGTTACCTTGGTTTAAAACAAGCAGTGATCAGGAATATTTTAACTTGGAATTTTTTTTCCAAAGTGGAAAAAAAAATTCTTGGAAAAATAATAAAGGTAAAATTATTTTTATAACAGTTTTTTTTCTAAGTTAATTATCTTTTTCATTATGGAACATACTTGAAGGAATAAAGCAGCTAGATTTTAACATAAAAAGTAGACTAGCATTCAAAGTTTTTTGTGTTGTTTTGATGTTATTTAAAATAATAAAAATTATCATTTAATTCAAATGTAACAAGATCATTTTATGAATTAGTATTGTAATTTACAGAGAGATAACAAGTATGGTACACAAGTATTTAAAATGCTTTTTTTTAACACCAGTTCTGTAAATGATCCAAAAAAAATTCCCATATTTTTTCCTACTACTTTTTTTTAAATTGAGTTTGTCAAATCGTTGAAAAAAAATTCTTTTAATAAGATGCAAAATTATTGAGCACAAATGGTTCTCCGAGTTTGAAAAGGGAAGTTACCCAAAAGCTACAGAGAGGGTTACTTCCCCTTTGCAATGGGAAGTGGCGTATGCAGCTTTTGATATCTGTTGTGTAATGGGCAGTGCACTAATTAAATTGTGTGACCATAAGTATCAATTAATGTTCTAGTGGCTTGACAGGGCTGATAAATGGTCCTTGGTCCCCAAGGGTTCTGACAGAATTGTCATTTTTGTGACTTATGGTGAATTAATGTTCTCTGGTATGGACAGCAATAGGCCAGGGGTCAAATCAAGGGTCATTTAGGTAAGGTCAGGAAACCAAAAAAAAAAAAAACCCAAAGGAACTGACATAATCCTGAAAAAAACTCGAGAGTCAATGTTTCCACATTTAGCTGTTGTGTTTACATACACTTTTCTTTTTAAATAAAATTTTGATATACATTTAAAACACTTCGAGGATGAATCAATTTCTAATTTCACACAATTAAAATGCATTTGTCAACTTCATTTAGATTTAAGATTTAATAATAAAATATTAGCAGAGGAGAGATTGGAATCCATTAATAGAATATTATATTACTTGCTTTAATATAAACAGTGTTTAGTCACTAATGCCTTGCAGTACTCTGGTGTGAAAATGTCCAGTTTGTGGTCATTAGGTGGACAAAGGAAGATGTTGAACAACACATCTTCAGGGAAAATTTGTAAATAAGCAATAAGCATGAAGTGTAGAATGAAAAGATTATTAAATGCCTGGACACCCTTAGGAGAGGGATGGTGGGGGACCCCAGCCACTTAGGAGCAGAATGAGGGTACTTCAGGGAAAAGTTAATATTGACTCCGCACTAGTAGCAAGGACTCCTCGTTCAGCAGACCATTTTAATCCTGGAGGACAATCCTAATAAGTTTCAAATTTTCTTCTAACAACAATGGGATAAGTTGCCTCTCCAAGGAAGATAAATATTTTGTTTGTCTTCCATTGTCTGGTAAAATAGTAAGAAAACATTGAGTGGTCAGATTTGGATGATGGTCAAAAAGATGTCCAGTACTTTTGATGTTAGTCTTATGGAAATAACACTGATATGAAGACAGATAATTCGGTAACTTTTTATCCATTTGGATTAATTAACAACAGGTTAGTATAATTAAGCTGCAGCAGCTGGAAACATTGCTCTATTCCTGAATATGATATCATAATTAGAGCTAGCACACTTTGGTAAATTTGCCATAAAATTGAAATTGCCTGCTTTACAGCAGTGTCAATGACCATGCATTGTCTAGGTGGTCAATGAAAACTGATTGATTATTCATTAATTATTGAAGAATAAAATTTAATTCCCAGAGCATGTGAAAACAAAGGAAGGGCTTAGATTTTCCCATCAAGAGAACCTGCAGACTGATACAGGTGCACAGGTGTTTTACAGAAATGTTTAGGAATTGTTAATACCACCAACTATGTTTTTAATCTTTTAAATCAATTAAGAGGAATTGGATTGTGATCAGGGCTGATCAATGGAGAGGAATTATTCAATCAAACTCATCAGTGTTGTAGGTTTAGATGGTATCAGTGTGCCTCTACCTGGCCGACTCTACACCTGGGCCAGGTATATTGAGACACCCGGCCCTATTGTGTCCAGTGTAACATGTGGCCATGCTCTGTTCACTGGTTTGTCTCTGCCTGATCAGCATGAGAGCTCATCAGCTAATTAACTCTTGTCTGAACCAAGTGTCACTGATGTTCTAAAGCAGTTTGACTTCACTGCCACTCTGACTTAACTCCACTTGGTATTTGCTTTATTAAGCTATCATTTTTTTTTTTCAAACAGAAAAAAAAACTCTGGAGAGGGATTGTTAACATTAAAATCGTTGTAACATCAGATCATTTAATTCATAGAAAAACTGATTTTTTTTTTTATCATTTCAGAAATGACAAGATAGAAGACTGACAACCATGGCTACTTTATTCATTCTGCTGTGCCTTTTCACTGAAGCTATTGCTCAGAATCTTGTGACTTTCACGATTAAGGAAGGTATTCCCCGACTTCACACTGTTGGAAGCATACCGGATGCATTCAACTTAGCTGCAAATCTTTCAAGAGACCAATTTGAATCTTTAAGGTACCAATTTTTGGCCAATCCTGACAACTTGTTTGAAATAGGAGACATTTCTGGTGACCTTAAAACAAACACATCGATAGATCGCGAGAGTATCTGTGACTTCCAGGCAGATTGTCAGAGGGATTTAACTGTTACCGTGAGATCCAAAGTTTTCTCTTACACAAAAATTTTCTCCATTCAAGTAATAATTCAGGACACAAATGATAATTCTCCAATTTTTGAACCATCTTCTATACGTTTGGCTGTTCCTGAACATAGCAGTATTGGAACCTCATACAAGATACCCAGTGCCACAGACAAAGATGTAGGGATCAACTCCGTCCAGACCTATGAGATCATACCAAAAAACGGGCCTTTTGGACTAAATGTTACAAAATCTTTAGACGGAAGCTTTTTTATCAGGGTTGCTATAAAACAGATCTTTGACAGAGAAGTGCAGGACTACTACCAGTTTAACATTCGAGCTCTGGACGGAGGCTCCCCTCCCAATGTAGGGGTCCTGACTGTTCATGTAGATATTGAGGATATTAATGATAATTCACCAGTGTTTACCCAGACTACTTACAATACATCAGTCCAAGAAAATATAACCATTGGAACTAATATTTTACAGTGCGTTGCTACTGATAGAGATATTCAGGACAATGGAAGAGTTTCTTATAGATTTAGTATGAGGTCTGATTTAGATGCTATCAGGTCTAAATTCAGTATTAATTCACAGACTGGACAAATTCAAGTGGCTTCTTCATTGAATTATGGAGAGCAAAACTTATATGAATTCTTTATTGAAGCTTTTGATCATGGTGCAGAAGCTCGAGTCTCCCAAGCCAAAGTCATAATTAGTGTCCTAGATGCTGGAAACAATGCTCCTTCCATGGAAATCGCTTTCTTTGAGGGAGGCAATGGCAGCCATTCTGTGAATGTCAGAGAAGAAACCAAGGAGGATGTCTCCATAGCTCATATTAAAGTGTCTGACTCAGACCCAGGCCAAAATGGTCAAGTAGACTGTTCCATATCAAATGTGGCTTTTGGACTTCAAGCAATAGGACCAAGTGGATATTTAGTAGTGGTCAAGTCCTCCCTTGATTACGAGACAGTTAAGTCATATCTGGTTACTGTCACCTGTCAGGATCAGGGAACTCCATCCATGTCATCCTCTCTATCCTTCACTGTCAACATAGTGGATGATAACGATAACGCACCAAAGTTTGTCGCTAGAATCTACCAGGTATTCATCCAAGAGAACAAATCAGCAGGAACAAGAGTAACCGAGGTTCTCGCTAAAGACAAAGACTCTGGAGTGAATGCTGTGATTAGATATGCATTGGATGGAGATTATGGATTGGAGATAGATGCCAGTACTGGAGTTATTGTCACAAGTCGACCTCTAGACAGGGAAGCCACTCCTCAGATCTCAGTCAAAGTCCTGGCCGTGGATCTAGGAAACCCCCCTCTCACTGGATCAACCACACTAATTGTAAATGTTCAAGATGTGAATGACAATACACCACGTTTCAATGTCACTCGGTACAACTTCCATGTCCCAGAGAACTTAAACAACACTAAAGTAGGCACAGTGTATGCCATGGATCTGGATACTGGCTTGAATGGTCAGATTATATACAAAGTGAATGATGAATCCAATTCATTTGACATTAGAAGTGATGGGAGCATTTTCACAAAGAAACCCCTAAATTATGAAGCAAAAAGACTCCATACATTTACAGTGACTGCAAGGGATCAGGGAAATCAAGTTCTATCTACAAGTGTGGATGTGAGGGTACATGTTGATGATGTGAATGACAACCCACCAAAGTGTGTCTTCCCTGATGAGTATAACCACACAGTCAGTCTTCCTTACTTAACCAAAACAGGCTCACTCATTACAACCGTCCAAGCTTATGATGCCGACAGTGGCAGAAATAGTCACCTCACCTTCCGAATCCTTAGCGGAAATGGTCATCGGACTTTTAAACTGGATCCAAACTCAGGAGAACTTTTCTATGACAATACATTTATCATTAAGAAAGACTCCATTTTTAGACTAAATATTTCAATTTCTGATCAAGGGGAGCCATCTCTTTCGTCTATGTGTGTGCTGGAAGTTACCCTCACACACACCAATGTGTCCATGCAGCCATTTTCTGAGGAGGATACCAACAGCAAATATGTTGTCATCTGTGTCATTGTAGTTATCATCACCATTTTCTTCTCTACAGTCCTTATTACTGTCATCATCATAATCAAACGTAATGACAGACGTAATCGGGAGAGAAAGAGTGAACAGGAGAAGCTACGTAACTTACAGCAGTTCCAGGGAATAGACAAGCGATACTACCAGAACCAGCCTCACACCTTCCCAGAACAACTCAGCAAAAAGAAGAAGAAAGAAGTCAGCTTCTCACTAGAGGATGAACTGGACAAATCGCTGGACATGTCTGGCCATTCCATTGTAGATGATCAGGTAATTCTTACATCCTTCCATAGAATACTGTAAACCAGCTATTATTCGCGTCATCTTTTATTCGCGATTAGTCTGTTTAAAATCAATCCGTGACAATTTTCGCAACTGAGGAAACATTCTCTACAAATACAAAGCAAAATAAATGGTTCATGGTGCTTAATATTCACGAGTTAAAGTAGGTCCCAAAACTCACAGATATTTCTCGCACGCGAATAAAAGTTGGTTTACGGTACCTTGCATACATTTCATTTAGGGGACCAGCGCATGTCATCTTGTCACTTCCAGTGCATCAAAAAGTGGGTTCAAAAGATTTGTTTCGACTTGTGACTTCATTTTAAATGCTTTTTCTTTTAAAATTATTATCCAAAATTTGAAAAATTGAACTGATTTTAACAGGATTAATGTTATAAGAAATGGCCCATTTAGTTTGTTTCTTTTGGCGAAATTCTTTACTTGGATATGGTAATTGTTATTCATTGAGATATGATTTATTCGCAAAATTGAATTAAATCAGCATCGTTTAGTCACGGCAACCTAGTTAATGGTCGTATTTGTGAGAATTCATGAGAGAAATGGGATACAATAATGGAGAGAAGTGGCCACTGTAACACATGATGATAGTATCTCCTGTTCTGGACTGTTAACTGTCTGTATACTGTGGTACTATGCCCCTGTATTGACACCCTAACACTGAATTTTGTATGTTATCAGTTATGTAAATCTAGCGGACTCTCGAGTCATAATGACAAGATTTTTGGATAAGTCACTGTTATCCCTAGTTCTTTTGTTATATTTGACACAGATTTGTGTGTGTTAAAGACTGACCCCAGGGGAAATACTCAGATTTTTGTGTATTTTCAACACAGTCTAACAATGTAGAAAATTCCCATTCTTCACAAATTACATGCATGCTACAAATGGGTTTTTAATGTCATCTTCAGATTTTAACAGTTATCTAACAGGCCTTGATAAAAAGAGTTAGTTAATGGTCATTGCAGATAGATTTCATCAGTTGTTGATTTTCTCACACTTAAACATTTTTTTTAATTTTACAATAAAGTATTTATGTGGTTTAAAAATTTGAAGTAGAGATTATTAATTGATGACTAATTTTGTATCAGATTTGGGGTACACTAGGATATGTTTTTGTTGTCCCCCCTCTATGTCACATCTTTTGTCCTCGTCTATGGTTTAGGCTTTCTATCTGTCCTTTGTCTTTACTGAAATAGGATACAGAAATGCGATGAGAAATTTAAATCTCTGATTGCTTGGCCTTCTTCATTAAAATTTGTCTCATTTAAACTTGGTAAGTTGATGCTATATGTCAAGACCAGTCCAGAGGTAACACAAGATTCTTTACATGTAGGTGATTCATTCCATGGACTAATGGACATTCATTGTGCCTTACATGTGCAGATTTGATGTGACATGCCAATATCAAGATATTTTTTAATTGGTTTAGCTGCGTCAAATTTGTGATTAACATTTTTTGGTCAAAGTTTAAAAAGTCATATTTCTCAGGTTTCTTTTCCATTGAACATAGAGGTCATTCTATTAAGTTGTCATTCTGAGTTGCCATTAGTATATGCAAAACTATGTATCTCAAAAAACTGTAAGATACCTTAATTCTAACTAGTGACCCCAAAAAATGGATTCTGACAATATAAGTTTACATGTATATCTTCAAAGCGAGCCATAAATGAAATTTTATTTACGATTCAAAAATTAAAATTCAGTAAGTTACCAATTCTCCTATATTTGCAATTCTGTTTCTTGAATAAAGTTAGTTGCTGTTAATTTAATCAATACATCATCAAAGTTAGGCTATCTTTTTTCTCAAATATTTGAATTATTGATACATGAAAACTGACTGTGCAATGTACAAATACAAAGAGTGCATTGTCATCTCCATTGTAATGTCAGTGTGCAGTAATTTATATGCATTAACTCTGAAGTGTTGTGCATTTTGAATAATTAACAAATAGTGAAGCCTTTGTTTAATTTAGGAAAGAAAAACTAAATAAATTTCCATTCTAATTCCCAGCAGAATTACAATGTGTACCACCCAGGACCAGAGGAGGACAAATTAAAACAGCTTCAGTTTGGCCAGTTCCTTATCAACCCAAACTCAGATAGAAAGGTATCAAAGAAATTTCTGATATTTTAATAAAATCAGTATAAATGTAGAGAAAGAATATTGAAGCATACCCTCCTCCTCAAAACAAATTATTTTCCTCTTTAGTTTTGTACAAATTTTGTCATTATGCTCAAATAACAAGTAGTGTACTTTAAAGAATTACTATATTGGTCAAGAAAGTTTCATTTTGTGTGACTAAAAAATTTTAAACAAATAAATTCTATGGGAGAGACTTTTTGAAGCAGAAATTGTCATTCTCTGTTTGTCATTTTGTGAGGGTCCAGTAAGAACTGATAATTAGGGCAATGATGTATTGATTTTCACCTATAATTTGGTGACCATTAAAATCCTTAATTCCTGACCTGTCCCCAGAATCCAGCAGGGATTTCCATTGTACCCCTCCCCTTTAGTTCAATGTAAATGGTCATCTTGCAGCAGTAATGATCACATTAAGCCAGGTAAATGAACAAACAAACTCCCCCAGCCCTCTCAATTAATTGTCACAAATCCATGGGAAATGTGATCTATGGCCATCAAAAACTGAAATGATACATTACACGTTTAGAGAAGAATTGAACATTGACTTTAATCAGTAGAGATCCCCTTTCACTTGATTAGTTCTCTGGAGTACTATTCCATTTAAATGAACTGAAAACCGAGAGGAAAAAGCCACTGAATATGTGTCTTTTGTTATTTTTGTCCTTGAAATTTTAATTTTATGAAGTAGCTGCCATAATTTGCTGGTGGTCATATTGCAGATTTTGTTGTCATCGTAACAAAGGGTACAGATGTTGTTTAACTAAAAGGCAGACAATAAAACTTGTGTGCAGTAGAACCAATAAATTCACAAGAAGCATTGCAGGAGCTGTGTAGTTTTGATTCTAGGTGCATGACCTTGACAAAAGTAGTTGTTTTTCAATCAGTTTTAATGTGGGAAGGGTGTGTTTTGATATCATTAAATCTGTAATGGTCAGTTGCTTGATCTGAAAGCTTAGGTACAACACCTGTCTCTGGTATCTATCATATCCTCCATTTCTAATTAGCTCAGGAGGGTATGTATAATTAACCCCCCATATCTCCCTGTTTTTCTAAAATTACCATCCTCCATGACTATCTGCCTGGATAAATACTGCATCTACAAGTTGTTATCTTCTTAGCTTTTTTAGCTTCAAATTAATTTGTTCATGAGAAAAAACCACAGAATTCATTAGAATTCTTTATTTATTTGATGTTTTTTGTCTTGTTAGGTAGATTAAAAAAAGCTATTTGGATTCAAGAAAATGTTTTTAACAAGGTTTATCAAAACCAGCAAACTTCAAATATGTGAAAATTTAGCTTGGCAGGAGAACTTTATGCATATATATCTGGATAAAAAAAACTGTAAAAACAAAATTAGAAGATACTTTTATCTGTGGTTTTAATTGATCAGACTTTGAAGTGAAGGCATGAGAGAAATGAATATTCTGTATTATTTTCATATTTTTACAGAATAATCTGCTAAAAGGTTCCCACGACAGCAGTAGTGACACATCCACGGACTTGACGACCAGTGACAGCGGCCGGGGAGGGAGTGATGTAGAAATGAATCATCCCAGTAACGCTCCAGGTAAACACGCACACCCTCATAAAAGTGACCATTTCTTATACATGATATATACCATATATACCAAATGCAGCATGCTAACTTTATCCACATTTTATTTCAATATGTACTGGAAGTGTATGATTCTGTATCCCCAGTATTCTTTTCGAACAAAATTTTATTTTATGTATTTTAATATATTCTATATTGATGTATAATAACACAAAAATTTTATATTTTCAGATAAAAAGTCTTTTCACTGGACTAAATAGATTTCTTTTTTATATTTCAGATGAGCAGAAGAAAAATATTTTACCATACTCTCGCTCATCGTCATTTCCACCCACACTGAACACCCCACCAGACAGAAGGGGGGCAAGGCCTCCCCATAAACCTGACAATAGTGCTAGCAATAAAAAGGATTACACAGGATTAACACCTCGAGAGACATTTGAGAAAAAGCATGGAATTAACAGACATTCTCAAGAGTCCATTCGATCGGAGAGTTGTCTCCCCTCTTATGTGTGACCTTTCACATCAGTGTTCATTTTGACTTGTGATTCCGCAGTGGCCAAAGAAAGTTTGACACAAACAATTTGTGATCTTTGAAGACACAAAACTTTTCTTTCTCAAATTCTCCGTCCTGAATGTGTTATTCTTTTTAATGTTGTAAAATATGCTGAACAAACCTTAGAATTCGATCTCAGTGACTACCTTATCCCCAACACCCACGTTAAAATCATCACCCTCCAATTTTCCTCCAGTGTATGGATTCCGATAATGCCCTTTCTCCAGTGTATGGATTCCGATAATGCCCTTCCTCCAGTGTAGGATTCCGATAATGCCAGACTTCAGAAAGTGGGAACTGTTTCCTTTGATATGGAACAAGTAAAAGGTATGAACTGTGCCTGGGACTTATCATTCAGTGAAAGGGAACCTTTGGCAGAAGCCATTTATTGTCAAGAACTAAATACAGTTCAGTCTCTATGTCTGGTACTGGAGGCTCAAAGTTTATCATTAACATGAATCCTTTCAATAGAGATTTAGAATGTATCACTTCATGTCTATATAATATTTTCCTTTCTTTCTAGATTGTAAATCTTTCCTGATGGACAAGATAACAATGATAATCTTCAGCTGGGACCACCCACTGCAGTTATACTAGGATATACGGCAATATATGGAAATAAAATCTTAACTATTAAATCATTTAGCCAAGTCAGGCGCATTCAGTGTATGAGATGAAAAACATTTTCTTGAAAATTTTGAGTTTTGAGTATTCTGCCATATTGCTGGGTGCTACAGTATGTATTGTGAAGTATAAATGATGGAAGTTTGTTGTATGATATGCTGCTGTTGACATTTCTGCTCAATGTTTTTGTTATAGATACTGCTGAGTGAATTGTACATACAGATCTGAATTTTGATGAAATCTCTTTTATGAACTTTTTATATGAAGATTTGCTTGCATTTTTACAAAATCACATATCAATAAAGAATAAAACTTTCCTGTGTGTTTGTAAATTTTTCTCATGGATGGGGAGGCACTGTTTTGCTTCATTCACAGAATCCTTTACCCTGTCAAACATGGCTTTTAGCATCCCTGTCTAAGAATCCATTGATAGAGAAGAACAGTAATGCCTCTGTTTATATCAATAGGTACAGATATCTAAGGTTTCAGTGGAGGATGAGAAAGTCGTGATGTACTGGCAGTAAAAGCTTTGTGAAACTCTTTGAACCAAGAAATTCTAGTCTTGGGAATTCAACATTCATCATTCAGACACATGTAAGTTAAAAGTGACTTTTAAGAAATATACATATATTTATATTAGAGGTTTTCAAGAAGCAAATTAAAAGAAAAAATATATTTGGTTTTCTTTCCTTGTCTCCTGAAAGAAGAATATCTGCTCAAAAGAAGCAATTGTGATGGTGAACGTATGAATATATATTATTATTGACGGTTTCAGATAAACCTAACTCCCCCCCCCCCCCAGCTTTATACAGTTTCAAAATGAATATACAAAAATAAACAAGTATTTAAAAATTGAGCATGTGTTGATTTGATAAAAGTTACCGCATAGCATGCGGAAGACTGACATCTGAAAATTTTGAGAAATCGCACCTGCTGTACGTACAATCTCCCTCATCAAGCACATGAAAGGATGGTTGTTATGCCTCCCTCTAGTGCGTGCGAGCATGTCAAACTTCTTAGAATTTCCACTTTATCATACAGATTCAATTTTTGATATAAAAGGAAGTGAATATTTACATTTTAGCTTCCCATCGGTCACAGGATTCCTATTGCTGTGTTTTCTTTCTATCTAAAGAATCTGGGGGGATAAGACGAGCCACGTGCCCATGCCCATTTTTCGGCTATGCAAGAACATTTATTGGAAAAAATCTCTCAGCGCAATTGCTCGAATTTACTTAAGCATTTAAATGTTTACGGTAGTTTTCAAAAATGATTATTTATATTCTAAACAAGCTAAACAGTTGACTTTCATTTACTGTCACAAGTGTCTAACATGGACAGGGACTTCTTTTAATTAAGCTGCATATTGAGCGTTAACACTTATTGTGGAGATATTATAAAAATGTTAACATTGTATATAATGATATAGTGGTGATCTAGAAGCGCTTGTAGTAAAAATAAATAAAAACGGGAATAAAAGTATTCAAATATCTATCATAATTTTTTATCCGGCATTTTAAATAATTTACTGTAAATGAGTTCATTACTACATACATATATTTTATTTCCAGTGAAAAAAATGTTATTCCTATAGACATTTTTTATAAAGTAAAATAAAATTACCCCCCCCCCCCAAAAAAAATCAGAGCATGACTCGAACACTTTCCTCAATAAACGTCCCTTTAAAGAGCTCCTCGCTAACCACTAGACCACGGTGTCACATATACATACCCATTTAAATCGCACACAGTTCTCTATATTTAGCAAGCGTATTTGGACTTAGAATTTGTTAAGACCACGGTGAAAATATAAGTAAGTTAACTTAATTTTTTATGTAGAGTGGGTCTTCATACCAAATTTTTGCAAGTGTAAAAAGCAACATCTTTCCATTGCCTTTCATTAATCGTTCTCAAAAAAAATGGTACGATGACCCACTCCATTTAAAAAATATAGTTATATCATCCAATTTATGCCAGTTTTTGCGAAAATTGAGCGTGATGCTATTTTGTTGTGTTAATCAGAATCATTTTCGCTGTTAGAGTATTCAGGTTTTGTCAAATTTGTATGCAAATGGTAATAAGCATTACATTAATTCATCAAAAAGTGTAATTTTTGTAAAATGAATTTATTGATTTTTTATCAATCGTTATGTAGGCATATGGCTCGGCTTATCCCCCCAGTTTCTTTACGAGGAAATTTTATTACTAGGGATTGCATGCTTTTATTCAGCATGTCCCTGTGCTATATTCCACAAATTGCTGCATTTATTTTTGCTAAATTAACTCTAAAACTTGATCAGAAAGCTAGGATCCTGGGTCATGTATTCTTCAGTAAATGTATTTATCAAATGAATTCCGTGTTTAAGTTCTGTTCTTTTCAACAGTAAATTAAGTTAATTATTGGAGCAAGAAAGGATAGTCAATTATTTTAGCAAGAAATTCGATGAATATTCGGTTGATATTCCTCGAGAAAAAGCGTCACTAACTTCACCAAAAAAAAAAAAATAAAATAAATAAATAAATAAATAAATAAAAAAAAAAAAAAAAAAAATAAACAAATAAGAAGTTTTCCCCCACGCTTTTGGTGTATTGTTTTTACTTTGCACATAAAAGTATTTTTTAAGGAAAGATGATACAAACTAATTTTTATCAAAAACCATGAAAATAGCATCTTTAGTCATGTTTATATAAGTAAATGAATAAGTTTAGCCGCATAGATTTTAATTTTTCATTCAAAATTTTCACAGTAATGTCCTACATAGTGATAAAAAAAATTGTATAGATTTATAAGGTTCATTGCAGAAAGGTAGAATTTTGAACATCATAGAAAGTTTGCAATTTCTTAATATTTTGGATATTTGCATCATTTGCAACCCAAAGATTTTTAATACCGAAGTTGTAATTCAGAAGTCGAGAAGTTCTAATAAACTGCCTTGAATATCTTGTTATCATAATCTTTGGCAATTTCAGTAAAGTTCACAAGGAAAAATATGTAAAATATTGAAAAAAAGGTGTGAAAACGTGCGTAGGTACAGGCGCGGATCCAGAAATTTTTCCTCGGAAGGGGGGGGGGGGCACCCCAGTCAAATAAATCTAAACCTAGGAATTTATTGACAAGCAAAAAAAAAAAAACAAAAAAAAAAAAAACGGGTAGAATCCATTTTCAAAACGTGAAAAGAAGCTATTTCGTGGTGGTGGTGGTTGGGTCCACGTTTTCTAGGGGTGGGGGGTCCAAAGTCATTTTTTCTTTGCTTCATTATATACTTATACTGACTCTGCAAATTCCAGGGGGAAGGGGTCCGGAACACCCCCCCCACCCCCCTCTTAGTCTAGATCCGCACATGAGGTACTTCATAGTAATAGCATATTCTTCATTAGGTAAGTATGTTCATCATGGTATAGTGCGTGTGAGCAAAGCGAGATAACTCTATCATAGGTAGAGTGACTTGAAATAGCTCAATGTTATCCACTTGACGACAGTAAACTTTATTTTAATATTTTTAAACAAAGGTGAAAGTTATGACTGAGTAAAAAGCTAACAAATGCTAATAAAGTTAACAACTCCAAACTTTGTATCATGGCTACAACATTTTCCCCTCATTTTTTATGAGATAGGAGGGCACCATATACATGTTTAAGTATACATATCACTGGCGGATTTAAGGGGGGGGGGCGTGGGGGGCGCACGCCCCCCCCCCCCTAAAATTTTCAAAGTATGACATGACTAATATTAATAATGCCATACTTTGGTTTTATAATTAATGGTCAATTAAAAAATGGTAATTTTAGGTAATGACCAAGTATCGTTTTCTTAAAAATCAAGTCTGAAAACCTTGCGGAAGGTAAATAAATGAATTTAAAATCAGACGGTCTACGTTACAAACCCTCCACTGATTGATGTATTTATTTATCAAATGGTGTAACTATGCAGTAATTTACTTACATAATAGATACAAGACTTTTTTCATTACACACATCTCATAATCTTTCCATATAAATGGAATTTAACGTCAGGATATAGGTTAGGATGGTGTAACTTCGACCACCTGGTTAATTTCGACCGTTCATAAATACCTTAAAATAATTTGTTTATAACCCATTATAGTGTACATACATCTACATGTATTTTATGCAGAAAGAAAACGCATTTTTCATATACAAATCAATGTCGATAATAATAGGCGAAATTTATTTCTTCACTGGAAAATTACATTCAAGAAGAAAATTTATCGCCCGAAAAATTACGGACGAGTATTTTTAAACCATTGCGGGGAATTATCAGTTTATCACCTCTGAAAATATCTTGTATATATAGAAAGACACAGTGGATATTCCTGGCGTGAAATTTATCAACTATGTTTAATTTTGCAACTTAAATTCATACCTTTTTAATTTATAGTATTTAGTTTTTACATATAAAATGCAAATCAGCTGAACAGAAATCGGCCGAAGTTACCCATGCATGAATACGGCGTCAGCGGGTAACTCAGTTCGACCAATGAATAAGACGCAATGCTATTTGTTACCAGAAAAAAATCATGACCACCGTCCGTATAAAAAAAATATTAGGATAAGTATTATGTACAAGAGTACTCCGTAGAAACTAGTTCTATAACAATGAAAAAATCAACTGTTCTGTTTACATGCGGTTTAGATTCCTGTGCATATATATATATATATATATATATATATATATATATATATATATATATATATATATATATATAGGTATATGAGGTTGTTTGTGGGCACCGACCTTCTAAACAGGTTTGTGGGATCTCGCATTTCTACATTGGATAGCTATGTCATATTCATGATTTAGGCGTTATATATGGTCATTATATAATATATAATATAATTTTTGAGATAAGATTAAAAATGTTGTATATCATTGTGGGTCATTATATTCATATATATAAAGCATTGTGGGATAAAGTATATACATCGCACAATGCTCTATATATATGAATATTATGACCCACAATATTATCATATGCTATATATATTATGTGCTGCATTTCACAATGTAAGACATAAGAATTAATGTTTGATATAAATATATACATATATGTATATTTACATATGTACAAAATGGAATGAATCATTCACAACAGTTTTGCTGGATTCAATATAAGATTTTAACTACTACTTTTCAAGTATTTTGGGGTCATATTACATAATGACTCACAGCGATATACGATTTATGAGATTCTTAACAAGATATTTTAGGGATATCCTCTCTCTCTATATATATCCCACAATTTCTTACACACACAAATATATAGTGACAAAGATGATTTATCAAATAATGTTCATC